TGCGTGGTGGTGCCCTGCATGTGTGTCGACGTCGTTACGTGCGTGCTGAATACGGCCGTGGCCTACTGGCTCATCGCTGGCGGCCTCGGGTACTTGGGATCCGCCTGGGCATTCGTCTTCGCCAACACGCTCAGCTGCTCCCTCCTCTTGGCCTACGTCATCCACCGCGGGCTGCAGGACATGGTGTGGCGTGTCCCCGTGGAAGTGAGCCGCCCAGGTCGCGTCAATTTCCGCGCATACATGGCCGCAAGTTTGCCGAGCGCGTTCTCGTTGTGGTCGGAGTGGTGGGCAGCGGAGGCCTTGTCCCTGCTGGCTGGCATGCTGCCCCACGGGGAGGCCTGCGTGGGTGCCCAGGGGATCCTCGTCAACACCCTCCTCGTCTTCGAGATGACGTTCGTCGGAGTGCAGACAGCCGCGACGACCCGGATAGGCAACCTCGTGGGCATGAGGGACGCGGGCCGCATCCCAGTCTCCATCGTGGTTGGCGTATTGTTTGCCGCGACGCTTTCTTGCGCAATCTCCTGTGTGCTGCAGGCGTACGGAGCGTCAATCATAAGGTTGTGGGCGCCAAACCAGCCAGACATATTCTAGACGCTTCGCGTAACCCCACTAGCCCATCCCGAAACGAAGCCCAGGCGATTGTCCTGACCAGGGATGTGGAGGAGCAAGCAATGGAATAAAGGGCTAAGAAAGCCGTCATCCCCCAAGAGGCGGAGGATGGAGGAGGAGGAGGCGGGGGAGGGGGAGGGGGAGGGGACTGGAGGGATGATGGCGAAGAGGGAGACGAATGGGATGAGGGGGAGGGAGGAGGAGGAGGAGGAGGAGGAGGAGGAGGGAGGAGGAGGGAGGAGGAGGAGGAGGAGGAGGAGGAGAGAAGGAGGAGGAGGAGGAGGAGGAGGAGGAGGGGGAGGAGAAGGAGGAGGAGGAGGAGGAGGAGGAGGAGGAGGAGTAGGCGGATGAGGAGGAGGAGGAGGAGGGCGAGCAGAAAGGCCGACTACCTCCGGGATGCTTCTCAGAGTATCTTCGGATGTCTCTCGCGTCGTGTTTATGTGTATCGGTAGATTGGCCCCCCCCGCCCCCGACCACCAACAACTCTGGTTCCACTCTGGCCGAAAGCTACGATTTCTCTCCGAACCCATCACGATTGCACGCTGATGCTTCTGGGGGGAGGGCTGGGCCTCCCGCGGCGTGGGCGGGTGACGCCTCGCCCCGCCCCGCCGCTGCGGCAGCTCACGAGCCCTGCGGCTCGGCGGCCCGTGGGCCCGCTGCGGCAGCACCGCGCTGCCGCGCGCAGCTCGCAGCCCCGCCTCCCGCCACGGACGCTCGGCCGGCGTCGCTGCACCCTGCCGGCCCCGTACCTCTGCAGCAGAGTCTGACGCCTGCGGCTTCGTGACGGACGCTCGGCTTGGATAGCTCTTCCCGCCCTCGCCGCCGTGGGCCCGCGTGCCGCCGCTTCTTCCTCCCGGCGCACCGGCTCGCCTCACGCTCCACGCTCTCGGCGCCGGCAGCCTTGGCTTCAGCCCCTAGGCGTGGACGCGCTGCCGCTCCGCGCCCACTGACAGGTCGCCCCCAGCACAGGCTGGCCGTACCGGCCGCTCATCCTGAAACTCTCTCCGCGGGGAATGCCCCCCTCCCGCTTGCTCTCTCTCTCTCTCTCTCTGCGGCCGCCCTCTTCCTCCCGTCCCCTCCCCTGCTGCCGGGCATTCATTACGCCGCGCGTCCCCGGCTACTAGAGCGCGCGAGCGGATCGCCTCCGCCGCGCTGCAACGCCAAACAGTTCTCCTGTCAGGGGGGAGGGGCGGAGAGATGCGTGCTGCCCGCAGCACCGTCTTTTGCCGCTCCCACGCTCCAGCGTGGACGCTCGCGGTGGGCACTCCTGCAGGTCGCCTCCGTGGTCTGCCACCTGGCTTTCGGAAGGCAGAATACACACAAACAAAACACAATGAATCGTCGATTCCCAGGACACTGTTGGAAAATATGGGAAGTGGGGGGGGGAAGACGAAAACCCTGAAAATATAAGAACAGATGGGGAATCCTGGGACTTGTGTCTATTTTTGTGTGTCCCTGGGCCCCCTCATCGGCATGATGCGGGCACACCCGCCGCCCCTGCCAAAAAAACACGACGACGTGCCCCTCGTCATGACCTAAGATTTTGCCCCAAAGTGGATTCAGCATTGTTCTTCGACAGGGATGGTGGAGGGGGGCCCGAATTGGTCCTGGTTGGCTGCCGGTCACTTGAGGGAGGTAGGGTCATCAATAGGGAATAGTGACTAAACCCCTCCCCGAAGGAGAAGACGGGAGGTTGGAGGAGGAAACGCTCTAAACGATTTACGCCCCAAAGGGCTCGTGGGATTATCGGAGGCGGAGGGCGCCAATTTGGGGCTGGTGCTCTCATTGCCGCCCTATGCGATAATGATGTGCTTGCTCGGGGTGCTGCGGGGCGCGGGGCTGCAGTCCCGCGGGGCGGCCATCGTGTTCGTGTCGTTCTACGTTCTGGGGCTCCCAGCGGGCGCACTCCTGGCGCTCAGAGGCGGCCTGGGCTTGATGGGGGTGTGGTGGGGAAACATAGTGGGCCAGACGCTCTCTGCTTCGGGCATGGGCGCCATCAGGAGGCCGCATGCGAACCCTACCCCTCCACCCCACGATTTCCAAGGGGGGAGGTTGGGTTCGCTTCGTTCGGGACCTCCCGAGCGAAGTGAGCCCCACATCCCCCCTAGAAATTGTGGGGTGGTGGGGCAGGGTTCGCATGCGGCCTCCTGGTCATGTGCCTCTTCGTGCGATGGCACCGCGTCGTCGCCGCCGCGCAGTGCGATGGGGCGTCCGCGCCGCTGCGGGACGGGCCGCCGGACGGGCCAGCGCCTCCGCCGAGGCTAGAGCTGGGGTCATGAGGCACCGCGATCAGGGGATGCCAACTGACCACCTACATCACTCGAGGGAGGAAAAGGTACCGACCCACACCTCTACCTTTTCCAAGTTTCCCTCTTTCTGGGCCTACCGGGAGGCCCTCGTCTCCACCGCTGGATTCGCCTCGAAATCCTGGTCAGGACGCACCCCGGGAGAGGTCCGGGGAGTAGCGGTATCAGCACTTCTTGGTCCCCCCAATCAAACCATCTCTAGGCCTGGGGCCAGTGGAGGCAGCATCCTACCCTGAGGTTCCACGTCGCTCGAAGAAACATTTGTGTATAGATATATAGATGCATCAACATAGACATATACATATGCATATGCATATGTAGTTATATATGTGCATGAGCATACCGACCTACCTACTCATATATACCTACCTACATGCATATATGCATAAATACATGCATACATGTATACATATATGCATGCATACATGCACACATACATACATACAAACAAACAAACAGCCGACCGTGCCTGCATGCACGCATGCATGCATCCATATGTACACGTATATATGCATATCTACATACATGCATACGTACGTACGCTCATACATACGTACATACATGCATACACGCATGCGTACATACATGCATGCAGACACACGTACGTGTGTGCGTGCGTGCGAGCGAGCGGGCATGCATGCATGCAGGCAGGCACGCAGGCATACCTACACATACACACACATACATGCATACATACATACATGCATGCATCCATGCATGCATACCTACCTACCTACCTAACTACCGACCTACCTACCGGTGTACCTACCTACATGCATACATACATACACACATACATACAGTCTACAAAACTTCTCAGAAGGCCACGGGACTTCCGAGCCTTGTAAGAAGGCCTTCTCTTTCTCATGTCCCCCCCGCGCTCGTCGCCGAGAAGCCCTGGGCCCTCTTGTTTCTTCATGATTGCCTGTCCTGTCCCCAGCCCAACCGGGCTACGGTATCTCAGCCCCGCCAGACCACCCTCCTGCGGACAGGCCCGCGGAGCCCGCAGGGACAGGCACACACCTCCCCACTCGGGTGGACAGAGTCGGCCAGCGGGGCCAGGGCCACGCCAGTGGGGATAAGGTTTGGCTAAACGATGCTCACCTCCTCCTCCTCCTCCTCCTCCTCCTCCTCCTCCTCCTCCTCCTCCCTCCTCCTCCTCCCGCCTCCTCCTCCTCCTCCTCCTCCTCCTCCTCCCCCTCCTCCTCCTCGCAGTCCCAGGCGCACAGGGTCGGCGCACGCGGCAGGCGGACAGTCGGCGTCCCACACCCCTCTGCGGCCGCGCCGCCCCGCGGCCGGCGCTTAGTGAGCAGCGCGGCACCTGGATGAGAGGTGGAGGCGGACGACCGACGGCGGACGATGACGACGACGACGACGGAGACGGAGGCGGGTGACGAGATCGACGACGGACGTCGACGACGACGACGACGACGAACAAAGACGGACGACGACGCATGACGACGCCAGACCCCCGACGACGGGCGACGACGACGCACCAGTTGACGGCAGCGGCGATGGGGTCAACCGACGACCGACGACCAACGACGACGAAGACGACGATGGACGGTGGAGGCGTGGGGAGGGTCGTTGTGGAGGCTGGCGAGGACGAGGAGGAGGTGGACGACGAGGAGGAGGTTGAGTGGGAGGAGGAAGAGGAGGAGGAGGAGGAGGAGGAGGAGGAGGAGGAGGCGAGGCTCGACAAGACCCGATGGAGAAGAAAAAAGGAGGAGGAGGAGGACGACGCCGAGGAGGATCGAGGCTCCAGGTGTCTGGGCGTTGTACCGCCTCCTGTTGGGCCTCCTAGAGCACCCTCTCCGCCCTGGCTGGGTCCGTGAGGAGTTGGTGTTGCAGCCCAGGACAGGTCCGTTGGCCCAGTTCTGAGTGGGATGGGGATGGGCGTAGATGGGGATGGTGGCCTGGAGCGGCGCGATTTTGCCTCCTCCTCCTCTCTCTCTCTCTCTCTGTCTCTCCACGCTCTCTCCGCCGACGCTGATCGTGTATTCTAACCCCAGCCTTCACCGCATTCTCCCCCGAGTCTTCCTCATCTCCATCGTCATCTTTCCCCGCCTGTGCCCCTTGTGCTAGACGGGCGGGTTCACGTGCCTCGACGGCAGCTACTTCGACAGCATCGAGGCGCGGGTTCGGGCAGCTGTGCAGTACGTATTGCCCGGGAGGAGGAGGAGGAGGAGGAGGAGGAGGAGGAGCCGGAGGAGGAGGAGGGGGAGGGGGAGGAGGAGGGGGAGAAGGAGGATGAGGATGAGGAGGAGGAGGAGGAGGGCGAGGAGGAGGAGTAGGAGGGCGAGGAGGAGGAGTAGGAGGAGGAGGTCGAGGAGGGCGAGGAGGAGGAGGAGGAGTAGGAGGGCGAGGAGGAGGAGGAGGACGAGGAGGAGGACGAGGAGGAGGAGGAGGAGGAGGAGGAGGAGGAGGAGGAGCTCACGGGCGCCGCGGGCGCGCGGACGGTCCGAGGCCGAGGCCTGGCAGAGCGAGGTCGCCCGCGGGGGGCGCGAGGATAGCTCGTCGCACTCCGCGCGTGCCGGAGACCCGCCCCTCCTCCCAGGTGGGCCCCCGCCAGGGCGCGCGGGGCGCGACGCTCGAGGGCAGGTGCTCGAGACTTGGCCCCACCTTCGGGGATGGAGTACGACCAAGAGAACAGGGAGCGGTTCCCCGAATTCCCCCGCCAACAAACAGGGGCATGCACTTCGTCCGAAGGCCTTCTCGGGGCCCTCGAGGGCACTCCAGAGCAGCCGCGGCACTCCACGGCAGCCTCGGTGAATCACCAGGACGGGGACGAGGGCCAGCGCGATGGCCCGGCGTGGAGGCGGCAGCCCGAGGGGCTCTGGGGCTCCTGGCTGGGGTCCGAGCAGCTGGGGTCGGAGGGTCGCGCCGCATCGCCGACGTATCGGCGATGCGGCTCGATGTGGAGCCCGAGTTTCTTCACACCGACGTCGCCGATGCATCGCCGACGTCGCCAGTGCATCGCCGATGTGTCGCGGATGCGGCGCGATCCTCCGAGCCCATCTGCTCGGACCCCATGCACGAGGCCTCCAGGATGTCCCACAGTGAAAGCCCATGCCAAGAAACACCCGGGTTGCCTCCAGGGTGCCCTGGGTTTCTTGGGTTTTGATGGCTCAGCGATGGAAAGCGCCACACCAACGATCTATGGACGCCCTGGGGTCTCAGGGTTGGGTTTCTTGTGGAAGGTTTCGTGTGGTCGAGCTCCCACTGTGCGAGTGTGTGCGAGGGGGCCCGCGTGATGATCCCGTCCTCAGGCGATCGCAAACATGGATCAAGAGGGCGTGGATCAGCGACGGGTCCCGTTTCTATGGGAAAATCGCGGATATCCGCCGCCGAACGAGGCGGCACCGGCCGCATTTTGGGGAGGGCGCCTCCCCCGATCCATGGATTTGGCGACCGCGCGCCAAATCCATGGATCGCTAATCCATGCTTGCGCGCCCCCGAATCCGTGCTGGCGAGATGCCACCCTTGCCGCAGCCAGCAGGTATATATAGCGTGCCGCCCGCGCTCGCCTGGGGATGTGTTGCATGGGATCGTGGCCTCGAGGGCGTGGATCCACGGTTTGCCTGGAGGGGTCGTAGCCTCATGCCAGGCCTGTCCCTTTACAGGAGGAGTACTCAAAAATAGTCAGAAATTAGTCTGGAGACGATGTTCGACTATGTTTGGTAATTTTTGATATTTTGACTGTTTTGATTGTTCGTCCAAAATCCGCCTTATAGGGAGACATGCCCGACCTAATCGTAGCCTCCCAGGGACTCTGCAGATGTGATGCGGGCTTGATGAGGCGTTGCTTTTTGGCCGACGGAGGTTGCGTGCGTTCTCAGAAATTGAGAGTCCCACCTCCTGGGAAACGGATAGATCAGTCATTTTACGTCCAGGCGGTGACTAGAAGATCAGCGTTGCCAAATTGCTGAGGTCCTGAGGAGACTGCAACGTTGCAATCCTCCACAGTGCTTCGAGGCTAACTACGCTGCTCCAATTTGTGAAACCTGATCCTCGCAGCCTGATGGCAGCCGCAAGGGGGGTCGGCGGATCGATCTATCTCTTCAGTCGTTCTGGCCTGCATGCGCCTCGTTGGCCGACTTCTGCCAGGTTGTGCAACCCCGTTCCGACAAGCATGCAATTCCCCACCATCGGAGGACGAGGGAAGGATGCGGAGGAACGGCTGGAGTTCGGAACCGAGAGGATTGCATAAGAGAGGACTTCTGAATGATTCTATTTTGTATTTGAGAGCGAAACAAGGAGGGGAAGGGAGAGAGAGATCTATATACACATATATATAGAGAGAGATACAGGCACAGATAATGAAACATTGAAGGAAGAGAGGGAGATAGGGAGAGAGAGAGAGAGAGAAAAAAAAAAAGAGACCGATAGAGAGAGAGAGAGATGATTGCATTGTAACGTAGATGCGTCGGTCGTCCAATTTGTTTTGCGTTGTGGCCCGCGTCAGGTATTGAATGACGATTTCTGTGATTGTCCAGACGGGAGTGACGAGCCTGGGACTTCGGCATGCTCTGGGGCAGCTCCACCTTGTTTTCTGCTTTCAGTGTCTGCTAGAAATAGGTTGTATCGAACATGCCTTCAATGCGCCATCGTTGAGTAAGCTGACATCGAAGTATTGCGCGTTCGAGTTTAATGCTGGCGCACTAGGGCGATGACAATTTCCTCAAACCGAGCATGCCGCGTGCCAAGATACGAGTGCAGGTGTTTTGCATGCAGCGCCTGTCGGCTCTGAGCGTTTACGTTTTTCTCCGCACGAGTTGACGTACTTTCTGTGTGTGTGCAGAATGCCCTTCGTGTATGTCCAGCAGGAACATAGCGCGGATTGGCAGCGCGGAAAAAAAAACAGTTTTGCCCACGATTCGAGCAGATCAATAATTTCATTGATGCTTGCCCATGGCACAGCTCGATTCGATTGCACACCCCGAGGTGCCCAGAGAGCGACTTCCCTCCTCACACGGATTCCGATTCGGTCGGTTCGATTACGCTGTCCAGTCAGTCGATCTGAAATGCGTGACGCGTCGCGAATGCCCGCCAGCTGATCCAAAAACATATCGCCAGGCGAGTTGCTTTGATCAGGGAAGTGTAGAAGAGTGCAGTGCAGCAACCGCTTTGGAAGTGTTTTGTTCTGGAGGTCTGTTGGAGCCATCTTTGGTATCTCTTGGGATCCTCGCGGAGCCACGTGGGGCATTCCTGGGGCCCTGCTGGGGCTCTTTTGGGGTGTCTAGGGGGCCGCTCGGAGCTTTTTTTGAGGGGGGGGGGGTCTGGGAGGCTTCCTGGTGCCATCTTGGCCCCTAAGGCTCAAAACGAGAGGAGTAACAGATCCAGCCCCCCCCATCGGAGGCTCAAACATGTCGTCGTGAGGCCTTCTGGAGTCTTGGAGCACTCTTGGGCGTTCTTCGGGCCGTCTTGGAGCCATCTTGGGTCCTTCTTGGGGCTCCCTTGGGCCATCGTGGAGCCATTTGGAGGCCCCCGAGGTCCCGATGAGCGAGAAGGCACAACTCGCAACGGTTCCTTAGACTTGGCGGCCATGTTGGCTTCTTGGGGGGGCGTAGAGGGCTCGGGGGGGGGGGGACATTTCAAGCCATCTGGGGGCCGCCTTGAGGCCTCTTGCATGTGTGTCGGCCTCTATGTTGAGCCACCTTGGGTTATCGTGAGCCACCTTGGAGGCCATCTTAGACTCTCTGAGGCCCTCTTGGAGCCATCCTGAGGCCATCTTGGACGCTCTAATCCCTCGCGGGGCGCACCGTCCAGACCCAGTGGAGGGAGAAGGGGGAGAGGTCAAGACACCCCCTGGAGAGCAAGCCGTCCAGCTCGCTTCCACCCGCCCTCCCAACACACGACTAACACCCCGAGCCTGAGCATTTTCAGCAGTCGTCTTTGGATGGGCAGCTACTGGGAACCAACACCGACCCCATGTGTGCGACCCTGGGGCGAGGTGCGCCACGCGTGCCAGGCGCGCCACGCGCGCCAGGCACCGCCGTGGGGCCCCAGCGTGCCAGGCACGCCTGGTGCGCCAGATGCGCCACGTGCTCCGCGTGCGCCAAGTGTGCCGCATACTCCAGCCGCGCCATGTGCGCCACGTTCGGGGCACGTGCAGGTGCAGAGTGTGTCAGGTGCGCCTGCGCACGTGACAGCACACATCGGGAAACATGTCGGCCCCTACCATCCTTGTCGAAAACCAATGCTCATCATTGTGTCTGGTGGGCCTGCGCACAGCAAGCCATACGCCACCACCCCCGCTGTCCTTTATATATGTATATATATATATGTATATACATATATATATATGTGTATTTATACACGTTTATATATATATATGATCGCGGGGTGGCCGCGCATGATCATGATTTAGCCTCGAGGTGCATGTTGTATTCTTTTTTGTTAGGGATGGTAGCCCTGCGCACAGCAGGCAATATGTTGACACCCCCGCCGTCCCTGTCAAAAACAATACAGAGTGCTCGCAGGCCGAACGAACATGACTCAAGACTTTGCCCCACAGTGTACTTTGTATCTTTTGTGGCAGGGATGGTGTGGGGGCCGCATCGGGTTGGCCGCGCATGCTCCCAATGTGGAGGCAGAGCGCGTGATGCATAGTCTTTCCACAGGGATGGTAGCCGGGGGTGATCATGGTTCGTGGTTGGCCGCCGGTCGCCTGGGGAAAGGGGTGTATACTAATCTGGAACAGTGGTAAACCCTTCCCCCCGAGCAGGGAAAGGAGGGAGTGTGGGCAGAGAGGAGACCAACTGTGAAGCCACCTGCGCCCAGTGGGCTGGTGGGATTAAAGGCGGCCGTCGGCTTCCGTGAGCAGGGCGGAGCAATCGGAAAGGGCATTCAGACACGGATGAAAGAGGAGGGAAGGGTTCCTGAAAAATTTGCAAGCCATCGTAGAACAAGAATCCTCCCCCGTTTTCTTTCGCAGGCCAACGTTCACTGCACGAGCTCACCTATCGCAGATCGGCTTCAATGGCGTTTCATGTTTGCCTGGCGACCATTCGACTTGCATTGCAGATACAGCCGTGTTAAGGCTAGTTTCGCTTGTCGTTTTTCGCGAATATGTTCCTGCTTATAGTCATGAGCTCTGTCATGAAAGATTAGCCAGCACAATATATGTTTGCCATATATGTGGTGATAGCTATTCTGTGCCATAGATGTAGTGCAGCCTGCGTGGTGCAACTCATGTTGTGCAACATGCTGAGTGCAATATGCGTTGTGCAATATATAGTGCGCAATCATTGTGTAAACTCAATCAAAAAGCGCGGCGCAGGCGAGAAAAAGAAATCGTGCAATCTATGTGGGGCAATCTATATGGTGCAATACATGTGGTGCAACTTACGCAGTGCAATCATTCACTTGCTCAAAGTGAAGCTGTTGAAGCTGTCCTCTCCACTGCTCGTGCAAATATCCCACCCTCCCACCCGCAACTTGGGCGCAAGATCTCTTAAGACCGTGACGGTGGGTACCAAATGGCATTTGGCAACGACACCGACGACGACAGCGACAACGACGACGACGACGACGACGACAACGACGCCTCCGACAACGACTACGACGACTACGACGACGTCTCCAACGACTTCGACGACGACGACGACGACCCCGACGACGACGACGACGACGACAACGCCGACGCCGACGACGACGACGATGACAACGACGACGACGACGACGACGCCGCCGCCGCCGACGACGACGACGACGACGACAACGACGACGCCGACGACGACGACGACGACACGAAGACGACGACGACGACGACGTCGCCAACGAAGACGACGACGACGACGCCGAGGGAGGAGGCAGGATGACGACGGCGACAACGACGACAACGACGAGGGAGGAGGGAGGACGGCGACGACGCGAACGATGAAGAAGGAGGGATGACGGCGACGCCGACGACGACAACGACGAGGGAGGAGGGAAGACGACGACGACGACGACGACGGCGACGAAATAGGAGGAACAACGACGAAACGCCGACGAAGAGGACGAGGGAGGAAGGACGACCACGGCGACAACGACGACGGAAAGGACGACGACGCCAAGACGACGACGACGAGGAAAGACGGATGACGACGACGGCGACGACGACGACGACGAGGGAGGAGGGAGGACGGCGACGACGACGACGACGACGACGCAAGAGCGCGCGCGCACGCTTTTGTTGAAAATCCGTGTTGCGAAACCTTGTGTTTTTTGTATGTTTTTCGGATACGCGATTTTGAAATCTTTCCAGAACCAAGGGTTTTTCAAGGATTCCGGCATGCGCGCGCGACGACGCGCGCTTGTGCACTTCGTCCCATTTTGTTGCAGAGGATTCTCGCGACGGCACGCGCGCAAGGGCGTTCGAAAGATTTCGACATGCGCGCGCGAAGCCCGTTTGAAGTATTTTTTGAGAATATTGAAAAACCGGTGGTTTTCTTAAGATTTTGCTAGAGCGCGCTCGTAAGCCTTTTTACGAAACCCTTCGCTTTTGCTTTTGTTTTGGAAACTCGATTTTCAAATCCTTTCGAAACCTAAAGTTTGTTGAAGGATCTCGGCATGCGCGCGACGACGCGCGCGTGTTATTTCGTCACATGTTTGGCAAGGGATTCTTGAAAACCTATGATTTGTTATAAATGAGTGTGCGCGCATAGTATTTGTTGCAGAGGATGGCGGGGGGAACCGATATCGGCTTGGCTGGGATGGTATGAGTTCACAGGTAGGATGGACATTGGGTCAGAATCCTATGTGGTTTACATAGGTTCCTGGGGGGGGTGAACCCAAGGGGGGAGGGTGGTAGAATTCATTTGTGCAAAAAGGCAAATACCCGTGGCGCAATCTATGTTATGCCACATATGCGGTGCAAACTATGCTGTGCCCGATCGAAAACCGCGCCGCAGGCTCGATTTTTTTCTGTGCAACCTATGTGGTACGATCCAAACGCGACATCGGGCGGCGACGAGGCGGCGACGGGGCGGCGACGGCGACAGCGTAGCCGCCAGACCGAAGACGCGGCCCAGACGACGGGCGTCGACGAGGCAGCGACGGGGCGGCGACGGCGACAACATAGCCGCCTGACAAAATGACACGGCTCAGTTCTTTCGAGGAGAAGTAAGGACATCTTAGTGCAAGCGCTGCTTGGGGGACAGAAATGTGCCCCTTCATCCTGCCCCCCACCACCGCCTCGCAGCCTAGCACGCTCCGCCACGTAGGGACTGCGACCATTCCATTGCTTCCATTTTCTCTGTCGTCGCCTGCATCTTGTCCCTTTGCGTTCTTTCGCGCTTGTTTTATTGATGCTGTTCGCCTCGCGCACGGCCCAATCTCTCCCCTCTCTCCCCTCTCTCCCCCTTGATGCCAATCCCCCCCCCCTCTCTCCTCCACACCCTGCCTCTCCTCACGTCTGGGCGTCGTAGAAGAAGCACGCTTAGCGTATGTTTTTTGTTGTTGCGTTGGCTTGCCCCGCTTCGGGCCTCGGGACCCTGACATATCGATCCAGGTCGAAAGATCGCGCGGAAAGGCGGGGTCAAGAGCTCCAGACGAGATGGTTCGCAACGCAGCGTTTGTTTTGCCGCTGTGTGGGGTGTCGAGGGCCCACCCGTTCCTGGCCCGTTCTTTGTTTCCCCTTTCATGTCATTTGGACCTTGACAGAGGAGCGAATCCGTCCAACACGTGTGCATTCCCCATGCCACGTAGCGTCACAGACAGTGGTTTCACTTTTTAACGACGCAGAAAAACGGGTTCGTTTTCACCGACGTTGGTGCGCAGGTTGCCCGCGTAAGGTCGCACGTGAGCGCCCTCGTTTCCACTGTGGCGTGCCGCGTTGGCGGCCCGCGCAAGCCACCGCGTCAGGTAGCCCTATGTCACCTCGCGTAGGTCCCCTTTCTTCTCGCCGTTCCCGTACCCTCGCTGCCCTCGCCCGCCGCCGCTGGGTCGGCGCTCTGCCCTGGCGTGGCCAAGGAGGCCGCAGCGCCCACGCGCCCCCTCAGAGCGCCAGCCGAGCTCCCGGAGGCCGAGTGCAAGGGCCCGCGAGCGCCAGCCGAGCTTCGGCGGGCCGAGCGGGCGTGGGCCTGCTGCCCCCCCCCGCCCCGCGGCCCCGTGTGGAGGTGCTCGCGTCACCGAGCGCGCTGCCCGGCTTCTCGTGCAGGTGGTGGGCCGCAGAGGGCTCTGGGAGCGCCCCCGCCCTCCCGCCCCCCCCCCCGCGCGCCCCCCTCGCCAGCAGGGGGGGGGGGTAAAGGATGGGGAGGACGGGGGGGAGGGGGAGGGAGGACGGGGGGGAGGGAGGACGAAGGGAGGAGGAGGGGGAGGATAGGGGAGCAGGGGCTCCTCCTCCTCTGCGCAGCCTCTGGGAGAAGGAGGCTCCGGCTCCTGGCAAGACGGCACTCGACTTGCTGAGCAACGCTCCCTCGAGTGCGAGAGCAGGCCGACCAAGGCGAGGTGAGGAGAAGGAGCCATGACCGACAGTGACCATCGCCATTGGCGTAGAGCACGAGACAGCCCTGGAGTAGATCGTGGAGGAGGAGGAGGAGGAGGAGGGGGAGGAGG